ACAGCTGGGTGGTGAGCAGACAGGACTCGGCACCAAAGCCCACCATGTTTGCTGGAGCTTGACCTCAGGGTCTGGTCTAGGGTGGTAAATTCACCCAACTCTCTTGTCTAGTTTAGAGATGGGGAAAGGGGATTTTGCTGTGGTTGAGATATCCTGGTGAAAGATGGAGGAAAGACCCCAAGAGCTGCTGCTCCCTGTGGGAAGCTGTGGACTTGGGGAAGCTCTGGGAATGATGCTCTGGATGTCTGGGCTCTCTTGCCAGTGGAGTCCTTGTCCTTTACACCACCCTGGCTGGATCTGTGGCTTGGATGTCCAATGTGATCTGCTGGGCTCAGCAACATCAGGAGCAACCAGACAGGCTCTTAAAAGATGGGAACTGCAGCACGTTTGAGCATTAAGAGGATGTTTTCCTCAGCAACGCTGTCTGATGGCACTGAACCTCCTGGAGAAGGGCTTTTACCAGTGAGACCTACAGATATACCAAGCCAAATCAGAAACAGCACATCACTCCCCCAAGAAACAGCCCACAGACACAGTGTAGCAAGACACTGAGCCCGCTGGGCAGGAGAAATCCCTCCCTCTGCTTTAAACAAAGACTTTTAGGAGAGGGCTGGAATGACCCAGATTATCCCCAGGAGGGACAGCAATTATTGTCCCTCTTGGCAGGCTCGGCAGGGCGGCCAGGGCTGGGTGAGCAGCCAGGAGGAGCCCTGGTGAGTGCTGAGCTTTGCTCCTCTGCCTTTTGCTGCAGGGATGCTGGTGAATGGAGGGGGATGTCCCACTGCCCGTGGCCTGCAGCTGGAGGCAGGCCCGGTGCTGCTGGTCTGCTGCTGCTGCTCTGTAATTAGAAGGATGAAAACTGGGAGCTTCACAACTCCTTGACTTGTGAACTTTGGGTAAGAAGAGGAGCTGTTCCAGAGGTGAGCTCATTTCTAACCCCGGGAAATGACTTCATGCACGCTGGTATTTACTCACAAAAACATTGCATGTCAGATGTCCCTGACTAGACTTTCTGTTTCGAGTCCAGTATGAGACAAAAATTTCCTTGGACGAGCTGCTCCTGAGACAATTCGAGGTTTGGAGGAGGAGAAGAATTAGAGGGGGGACAAAAAAAAAAGCATTAAAACCTCTGAAATCACCAAGTTTTTCTGAGAAAAGAGGAATTTTTGGACAGCCAGCCCAGCAGGAGCACCTGGCCGGGGCGAGAGTGCTCGGGGTGAGGGTGCAGACAATGGGTGCTGCTGTAGGATGGCTCTGCTCAAAGAAGATCAATCATTCCTCCTCCCCCAACACCCAGCAGCAGGTGAAGAGACAAGTTCTTCTCTCTTTTTGTGAAGCCAAGACCCTGGTGGTGATTTATTAGGATAAACAGCAGCAGGTTCCCTGCCCCCTGTTTGCGTTACGTTAATGGAAATTACATCCCGTGCTGCTTTCCCTGCATGAGATCACCACTCACACAGGAATTCTGGGGGAAAAACACAGCACTTGCATTTTTGTTTAAGGTCTGCTCGTGCAAAAATTGCACTGGGGCTGCTCTACCTGGTGTGGCTCTCTGGCTTCTGTCTTCTCCAGCATCTCAGGGTGATAGCGTTCATCAGTTCTACACAGCTCTACAGCTCCCTGAAGCTGCTTGGAGCCAGGTGGCAGTCAGGCTCTTCTCTCAAGTAGTAAGACAAGAGGAAACAGCCTCAAGTTGCACCAAGGGAAGTTTAGGTTGGATATTAGGAAAAATTTCTTCCCTGCCAGGGTTGTCCAGGGCCGTGTTGGAGTCCCCATCCCTGGAGGGGTTTCCAAGCCGTGGAGATGTGGTGCTGAGGGACACGGGTCAGTGGGGACCTGGCAGTGCTGGTTTAGTGGTTGGACCTGATGATCTATGATCCGTATGGATTTGGGGAGAAAAGTCCTATTTGGGGATGCCTGGAGATGCTCTGGCTCCCTGTGACCCAGCACTGGGCTGCAGCTCCAGGGATGTACTGGGGCAGCATCCCAAAAAGAGGTGATTTAGGAAGAAGCTGAGCCATGGTGCATGGAAACAAGCCCTGTCTGCCAACACTGTTTCCTAATCCTGGGGACCAAAACCCTCTGATTGTTAAACCAGCCTTCAGAGCTTCGGCTGAAGGCTGCTGAGCAGACAACATCCAAACTGACCTTTGAGGAGAGGAGTGAATAAAAAAAGAAGGAAAACACAAGGGGGTTACTGTGCAAACGCTGGAGAAAAATAGTCATTTTAATAAGGGACCCCACCCTTTAAAGAAGACTTATTGCTAAAGCATGCCCAGGACATTTCTGTGTGATGGCATGCTAAAAAAATCCTCTCTGAACAGGGGCCCAAGGCTTTGTTGTGGCGTGAGCGAGGCTTACGGCTCGCGAGAAAAATCCTGTCCCTCTCTTGCATCACGCAGTCAGGGATGGAGAGGACATTTCTAGACAACAAGGCAGCCAGCTGGGAAGGAGGACAAACAGCCACCACATTCCTGACTCGCTATTTAATTGCTTTACTGCAGGTGCACCATGTTAAATGAAAGGAAAAATAAAGATGAGCGTGTGGGGCCAAATGAATCTCAGCTTTAACCAGGAGGGGAATGCGAGAAGGAGGAGGCTGCTGTAATGAAATGGGCTTCCACCCAATGTCTTTGTGGTTTCTGGGTCTTTTTTCTCCCCCGGGGACCAGGTTCATTCCCACAGCACCAGCAGGTGATGGTCTGGCCAGGTAAGGAGGTGATGGAGATGGTCCCTCCTGCATGGGGTGGCTGGTGTTCATGGGGTGCCTGCCCTTCTCTGCCCTCTGCTTTTCCCTTTCCCCTCAGATGTAAAGCACTTGGAATATATAAATTGTATAAATCTGAGCAGAGTTTCCAGCCTGGTCCCTTTCAGTGGTTAAATAGATGCAGTGGAGGGTTGAGGGGACCGATGGATGCTGATGCCTCAAGGGCTGGCGTCCAGCTGCAGCATCTGCTGGGTCTCAGGACCCCACCTCTCTGCCACACCATTTGACTCTTAAACCCACAAAGAGGAAAAATATCATTTTTTTGCTGTGCCATTTTTCTTTTACTGGCTGAGGAGCAGGCTGTCCTCAGTTTTCCTCCCTGGCCTTGCATTGTACGTTGTATTTATTGAGCCCTTGTGAGCTCTTTTTCCCTCGCAGGGTTTCGAGCTGCACATTGAGCTCTCACTGCTTTGTGCTGGAAGAGACAGAAAAAGAACAAGGTGGGAGCTGATAGAGTGCAGGAAAAAGAAGTTGCATATTCATTAAAATGCCCAAATGACCCAAGTTTCTCCTTATTAATTCCCCCCTCACAGCATTTCCAGTCCAGGCACGTACCTGTGTTCATCTGTGGGGCTCCCATGGACCCGTGTGGTCCTGGAGCATCGTTGTGGGGGGGGGTCTGTGTGTGCTGCGAGTCTCCTGGTTGTCTGAGCAACAGGGATGCTCATCACTAACTCCAGGGATAATTAACTCATTTTCCTGTATTTATAGAAATCCAATGCAGGGAGTGTTGGCATTTATCCCCACTGGGGCCCCATTTGGCCACAACACCTTGAATTTTGGCCCTTTCTTGAGATGCGGCACCTCTGCCATCAAACCTGCTGCCTGCTTGTGAAGCCTGGAAGCGGGCAGCTCGTGAAGCCCACAGGGGCAGGGGTTCCTGGGGTGAAACACCAGCAGCTGCCCCAGCCAGGCTGCTGTAGGTGCCCACTTCTTGCCAGCACAGCTGTCTGCAGCAGCGTTGCCATCTCTGGATGCCTGGGCTAAAAGCAGCGTAGCTCCCGGCTTGGCCGCCAGCAAGGGGAAATTTTCCTGCTTCCAGGGGTTCATTGCAGGGATGTGATGTCAAGCCAGGCTTGGAGCATCCTGGCTGGGCACCGTGGTGGTGGGAGACCCGTTGGGAAAGACAAGGAGCATCTTTTCCTGGTGTCAGGGTGTGCATATGCCAGGTAGGTTCCCGTTGGGTTGGTCTTTGGGGCTGGAGGAGGGTGGCTTGCTGCAAGGTGTTGGCATCTCCATCCTGCAGGGCTGGGGAGCAGGGCTGATCTCAGCTGCTCGTGCTGGTTGTGCAAAGGTGGGGAATGCTTTATTTGGGGAGCAGCAAACCAGAAGGGTTTAGGTTAGAAATGTACCCTGCCTGCTCCTGAGCTCACGTCCCCAGGAGGTGGGAGTGCTTGCCCTTGAAGTATGAGTTGTCCCCAAGCTGGTTGTGCTTGGGCACAAAGGGCGATTAAATCAAATGATGGGGGATCACCACACTGCTCATCTCCTGCTCCATACCCACCCTGGCTGTGTCTCTGCCTACACCTCCTCCTCCTGCTTTGCCTCCTGAAGGCAAAAGGGACAGGGGTGTTGAGCTGGTGCTGCCTGGGTCCTGGGAAGGTCCAGACTCCTAAATGACACCATGATCCCCTCTGAGAGCCACTGTCAGTTCCTGGACAGCATGGGATCCTCCTTCTTCCCTCCTGGCCACCCTCAGGTGCTCCCACCCTCCATCCACAGCCCTGGATCCAGCGCTGGAGATGGAGGTGGACCACTGAGGTTTAGCACACTAATGGAAAGTGCCACGGGGGTTCCAAACACCTCTGCTTGCAAAGCCCCTTTGGGAGGTCGAGTCCTTGAACCCAGCACGGCTGGTTTTGGAGAAGGGCTCCTCCATGCTGACGTGGGTCCATCCAAGTCAATAAGGGCTTGGGCAAAACACTGGGTCTGCTGGTTTTTGTTCCTTGTGCACCTATCTTCTCCTTTTTTCACCACTGCAAAACATGTTGGAGCAGACCAAGACAAACCTGAGCAGCTTCTGACCAGAGTAACGTGTGGTATGGCCAGAAAATGGGACTTTGCAGGTGGCAGATCCCACCATCTGGACACACCCATGAGTTAGATGCCCAGAGCACCTCTCCCAGTCCAAGAGCAGCAGGGAGGTGCTCTCCATGCACAGCCAGGAGCATCTCCAGGACATGGTGCCCTGTCTCAAAGCCTCTCTGAGTCACTATTTGGTTCTCAGTTTCAGTTTTTCTTCTTCCACCTGCACACAGTCCCAGGAGGGAACTTCATCCAGTTCATTACTCACAGGAGCCTCCAAGCACACTGAGAGGAGACCGTCTACAAGATGTCCACCTCCACCAGCCTCTGCATCACCCCCTGAGCATCACAATCATTTGCTACATCCAGGTCGTTTGGGAGATCAGTGAACAGCTGAAGATCAGCAAAGGTAAGCAAGTCCCTGCCCCTTAGTGTCCACCATGATTCTGTGCTTGACCATGCTCCAGGCTGGAGCATCGTTGGATCTCTGCCAACACTTTCTGAAGGGTAAACCAACCCTTGACACAGACTTCTTGACCACCCCTCTTTGCTGTCTTCTGCTTCTTCTGGGCCACGGACAAGACCATGAGATGGTCTCCCCTCTCTGGCAGAAGCACAGTCATGGGTGGCTGTGTTCTGGTTTTCTCCCACCTCCAGCTATCCTTTTGACTCTCCCTGGCAGGTTTGACAAGAACTCACAAAGAGCACATGAAGACTCTCAAGATGTCCATAGTGATTGTTGCCACCTTCATCATCTGCTGGGCCCCATACTACCTCCTGGGCTTGTGGTACTGGTTTCAGCCAGCCACGATCCAGAAGATGCCAGAGTATGTCCACCACAGCTTCTTTCTCTTTGGCCTGCTGCACACATGCACAGACCCCATCATTTATGGACTGTACACCCCCTCCTTTTGGGGGGACATGCAGCTGTGTCTCAGGGGCATTGAAACAGCCATTACCAGGCAGGAGAGACACAAACCCATGGAGGAGAACATCAAGGGTGATGCTGTAAATGGTGGGGTGGCAACAGGGGGCTCCAGTGGGACAACGGTCCACACGGTGTGCTGAAGAAAGGAACCCAAAAGGAGATGGGAGGCACAGCCTCAGGGGCTGCTTTGGCCCTTTGGATCCTTCTGGAGGCTGTCATGAGGAGGTTGACCACCCAGCCTTGGTGGGTGAAGGCCTCTGGCCAGAAGCTGGGAAAGTGTCTCCTGCCTGCACTCATGGTGAGAAATATTTGGGGGCATTTATGGTCACTGCTGCATATTCTGGCAGCCCTGTGACAACCAGGAAACCATCTCTTTGTACCCTGGGTGTGCTCTAGCCCTGATTCTGGAATCAGGCTCCTGCCACCCTTCCAGCATCGACCCCTGGAGGAGATGCCATGTCCTCCATGGCCATATCTGCTGGGGTGGCTGGTCCTCAAGTGCCCTTTGCACCTACCCCTGGGTGTGGAGCTGCGTGGGTACCACCCGGGGAGCCTCCAGAGGGGGCAGCAAAGGTTTCTGCCCGGTTTTCTCCACCCACGGTAGGAAAAGCTCTTTGGAAATGGTGGATCTCCTGACTCAGAGCCTGGCCAGGTGCTCCCACGGCTGTGTGTGAAGCCCTGGGATGGATGCAAATCTTTGGGGAGTGACAATGCAGGGGCATTGGTGTCCCTGGGCACGGTGGGGATGGAGAGGCTCAGGCAAGAGGGGTATGAAGAAGCACAGTAAGATGGGGTGGGATGGGATGGGACGATGGTTCTTCCCCCTTTTGGAGACAGTCAGAAGGAAAAACAGCCCTTGCTGCCATGTTCTGGCATGCAGGGGGTGGTGTGGACACATCCTTGCACAGCAGCTCTCCGTAACACAGGGCTGGCCAGGAGAGAGAGTATTTGGGGTAACCAGAGGGTGACAACCCAGCCTCTCATGACTGTCTCTGTCCCCAGCTCCTCTCCAGGACACGAGCTGGCAGGTCTCAGACCACACACGGGGCTGTGCCCAGCAGCTGGCAGGGGGTGATGGGAGCAAACCCCCCCTTTGCATCCCTCTGCTTTCCCCTCTGTCGTTTTCTTCACCTTAATCCTTTGACCCAACACCAGAACCTCATCTCTGCCCCACGTGGGATGGGTGCAACCACCCCAGAGGTGATGCCTGAGGTGTCCCAGTGAGGAAGATGATGGGAAGCACCTGTGGGAGGAGGGGGCCATAAGAACCCGAGGGGTGCTGACGGGCTTTGGCTGCACTCAGAGGGTGGCTGCTAGAGAGGCCAGCTGAGCTCTGGTGAGTAAAATGGGGCTTTTTTGCTTTTCACCAACATGCCAGAAGCCTCTTGTGAAGGTAGAGACCTCACCACTGGGTGTGGATTGAAGAGATGGATTTATTCAGCTGTGTTGTTCCTTTCTGTGTAAGAATTAGTGGATTGTTTGTTTGTTCTCTGCTGCTTGTTATTAAATGCATTTTTTGCCTTTGCACCAGATGGGGTTTATTTTTTTGGGGGTTGTGAAATATTTGGGCAGCCCAGGAGCTCTGGGCTTGACAGGAGGTGGTTCCTTGTGTGTCTTTGTGGCTGTTGAGGCTTTGAATCAGCATCTGGACTTTATCAAGATGTGAGAGCTTTGTTTTGGAAACAGCTCTTGACTTGCTATGGCTGCACACGTTGGGAAGCTGGGAGATGGCTGTCCCCAAAAAAGCAGATCCCCTTTGGGCACTGCAGGGGCTTTCTTGACCCTGTCTCCAAGGGGTGGTGGATCCCCTTCAGTCAGAAAGGAGCTGCACCGGTCTCTCTGTGCCACAGCTAACAAATTATTGAAGTTGGAGTGGTGGCAAGCAGTCCTTGCAGGTTGGCTGAGGTGAGGTGTTGAGGAGCCACAGTCCTCAGGGTAATGCTGAGCTGGGGGTGTTGGGCACTAACTTCCCCCATGCTAACTCTCCTTTAGGCAAAACACGATGCCCAAGGAGCTAAAAAAAAATCACTTGGAGCTCCAGGAGCCCAGACCTGACCGTTGGGAATTAGTGCAAGCCCTTTAGGAAGCATCCAAAGTCCAGTGAGATGTGTAATCACCAGTTGGCTTTCCCGGGCTGGTTCTGCTCAAGGTTAATTACACAACACTAACGAGAGCAGGGCTGGCTGCTGCCAAGCTGGCTGGGCTCGACCTGTGCAAAAAAGAGTTGGTAGGGGAAGCTAATTTGCTCTTCTTCACTCCTTTAGCCTCTCTGTTCCTGTTACTGATGGTTGCCAGTGGGAAGGGGACCTTGGAGGTGTGCTGCTTTTCTGGCAAGCTTCAAATGAGCAGGAAAGTGTCTTTAATCTCCTGAAAACATTCTTCATCTGCTTTCTGCTGATGAAGCAGCGTTGCTCCACGCACTTAAAGCTGCTTGTCCCATCCTGCAACAGCAGCAGGAGAGCTCAGAGAGCTTCTCTGAGGATCAAGAAGCACTTTTTATACAAGGCACCCACCACCTTCACACCCCAGGGGTATGGTGAGAGGGCAGAAGCAGTTTTGGTTTTACATGAACAGTAGGAAACTTGGGATGCTGGCAAGGAGCCAGCCTGGCCCTTGGGGGAAGCACAGCAGATCCCCTGGAATGCTTGCAGGCACTCCAGCTCTGCTCCTTCTACCCACCTCTCTTGCTGCTTCTTCTACCCTCCCATTGCTGGTGCTCAACGATGACATTTTTGGGAAGCCTGGAGTGTGGGCAAGGTGCCCAGAGTGACAGCTTTCATGATAGAAGGAAAATGTCTCTAGAAGATTAAGCTTCTAGAAGAAAGAGCATCCTGCCCAGCCACGTGCCAAATGCGTGGGAAGGGGGAGCCAGCAGGCAGCAGCACCTCCCCATGGGACCTGGGGATCAGCCTGAGGCTGGGTCCTGCCAGAGGTGGATCAAAACCTAGCTTCAGTGTCCCTGCATCTCTGATTTTCCGTTTCTCAAATCCATTGGTACTTTAGACAGTAGATTTGTCACACAGGAGGAGTGTGAAACCTGGAGCCTCAACCCTCCCTGCCCTGTGGCTGGTCCTGCTTTCAGTGCTGGCTCCTTCTCTCCCCATATTGCCTCAAACAGCACCTGCCTGCCTCCTGAGATCTCTTCATATATATAAAACACTTATATTTGTATATGTTATCTATTTCCCCTTCTGGGAGGAAAATCCTCCCACTCCCCCAAAACCTGCTGAGGAAACGGCAGCTCCCACGCTTCTTGCAGCTCCAGCAGGATCAGCTTTGTCTCATTCTAAATATTCACCACGATAACATAACACCTTCATAAGCACAGGTAGCTCTATTTCACAGCTCCTCACCCTCAGCTGCCTGCTGCAGCCATCCTTTGGGAGGGAGTTCTGCTTCGTTCCCCACCGGCCTTTTGGTTGTGCCCCTGCACGTTCAGAGAGCCCCGTGAGTGGCTCGAGGGGTTAAGGTGAACCTTGGGTTAATTCATAATAGTGTTAGCTGCTGGGCACAATACTCACATTAATTCAGCTGACTGCCTCTCCCCACGTTGGGAAACACATGCTGAAAGCAGCAGGGAGCACGGAACACGAGCGTGGGAGTAGGATGTGAAGGATTTTGCTGGTAGAACCTGAGCACTTTAAGTGCATTTGTTTTCCCGTTGTCACCGAGGACAGTGTTACCTTGTGGGGCTGAAGGGTTGAGGAGGCTGTGCCCAGCACCCCTGCAGGCTTGGGGAAGGTGAGGGATGGGGCTACAAGCCCTCCAAGGGGCACTCAAGACACGTCCATCAGGAGCTCAGCCCCTACCTGCAGCCACCTCTTTCTTCTGGGTCTATTCAGACTGTTCAAAGCAGAAAAAGCCAATTTATTTCCTTTGATCCCCGTGGAGCTGAACTGCACGTGTCTGCTGTGAGAGCCCCTGCAATTCTTTTCTCTCTGAGGATCCAGCCTGGAGCAGCTGGTGCAGAAGATCAGCTGGGAACAAGCTCCCCATGCAGATGCTGTTGGCCCATGCTGGGGAGGAGAGCTCAGCTGAGGGACTCAAAGCCCAATAAAAGCCCAGGCAGACTTGGGGAGATAGTGCCCAACAGCTGCTCTGCACCCATTCCTTGGGCTTTTTTGCTTTGTTCTGGTGGACAACAGGTTAACCATGAGCCAGCAGAGTGATCTTTTGGCCAGGAAGGCCAACGGTCTCCTGGGGTCCAATAAGAAGAGTGTGGCCAGCAGATTGAAGGAGATTCTCCTCCTCTGCTCTGTCCTAGTGAGGCCACCTCTGGAGTGCTGTGTCCAGTTCTGGGCTCCCCAGGTCAAGAGAGACAAGGAGCTAATGGAGAGAGTCCAGAGGATGCTGAGGGCATGGAGCATCTCTGTGCCCAGGACAGGCTGAGAGCCCTGGGGCTGTGCAGCTGGAGAAGAGAAGATCCAGAGGGGATCTGATCAATGTCGATCAATATCTAAAGGGTGGGAAGGGGCAAGAGGCTGGGGCCAGACTCTTGTCAGTGGTGCTCAGCAACAGGACAAGGGGCAACAGCCACAAACTGGAGCCCAGGAGGCTCTGTCTGAACAAGAGGAAAAACAACTTCTCTGTGAAGGTGCCTGAGCCTGGAGCAGCTGCCCAGAGAGGCTGTGGAGTCTCCTTCTCTGGAGAGATCCCAAACCCACCTGGATGTGACCCTGGGCACCCTGCTGTGGGTGACCTGCTGGAGCAGGGGGGTTGGACAAGATGATCTCCAGAGGTCCCTTCCAATGCCAGTTTGGGATTTTTTGATCCCACTACTGCTGCCTGACCTCCTCCTTTTCTGAAGGACACCCCACAGCCCATTTGTTCCAACAGATGGTTTCTTTGCAGACCTACAAACCTTTTAACAACACAACACCCTTTAGATAGCACCAAATACCTCTGGGTTTTCTGGCTGGTTTTACCCCAAACTGATGTACCCATGACACAACATAATACATAACATGCTGAGGTGGAGCAAAAATCCCCAGGAATGTCTCAAACCAGAAGTTTCTGCTTTGGAACATAAAATAGTAAACCACTATCAAGGAGTTGAATCTGTTGTGCAAAAATTGGTTAGTTTATGTATATTTTAATTGCAAATCAACACTATAATTAGCACGTACCTTTCTTGGGCTGAGGCAACACAATGTGCTTTAACAGTGAGTGTTGCTCACGGGCTGTAAAAGGCAATGGGGAATTGGATTATAATGGTCTCGTTCTGCAAGCTGTATGGCGAATAAATGAATTTATTCTGGCAGCAAAATTAACTGTTAGAAATGCTCAGAGCTCCAGCCACCAAAAGGGGTTGCTGTAAATGAACTTGTTCTCAGCCTTCAGTTTAGAAAACCTGATTACCAGGTCATTATTTCTGGCAATTAGGTACCAGAACAACATCAGAGAAAGAGATTTTCTTTGAAATATTTAATGAGGAAGGTAGTAATCCCAGACTCATTTGCTGGAAATATGTAATGAGAGTTTTATTTTTTGTGTGGTTAGGGTTCACTGTGCAATGAAAACCTGCATTTATCAAGCCTGCTGTTAAAAGCTAGGCTGGACACTTGACTGGTGGCACACGTTTAGATTTTCTGTGCCTGGGGACCCTGGGCTCTTCATTGGGTTTACCCCATGACAGGTCACTAATCAGAGGACAGACCTTGGCTCCCTTTTCAGTCTCAGGTAGTTGCAGGTTGCTTTGTAACAACTGCAAATACAAAGGACTTAGGGCAACACTTTCCCTGTCCTGTCCATGTTGCACAACTAACTGGTGGACACCACAGAATCCCAGCATGGTGGGGTTGGAGGGGACATTTGGGGAGCATCTTATCCAACCCCCCTGCTCCAGCAGGTCACCCACAGCAGGGTGCCCAGGGTCACAGCCAGGTGGGTTTGGGATCTCTCCAGAGCAGGAGACTCCACCGCC